TATATATATAATACATATCAGTCTCTCTTATCTCCCACCATCTCTTAGCTCCTTACCATTTCTGTCTATAATAAACCCTTGCCTATAATTGTTTCCCTAACATTTCTGTCTATTTTTTGTTTGTTTGTTTTTGTTTTTGTGACCCACTGAGTTTAACCTGCTTATATGGCCTTAGATTCAGGTTGTCCATTGGAGCCTGGTGTGCTCAGGGGTAGATAGACAGGTGAAAACAATGACTCTATTTCTCTTAGAATCAATCAATAGTCAATAGTTCTTGAGTAAAAGAGCCCTACAAACCATTGCCCCATCTAGGACTGGCTAGAAAAAGAGCCAGTCTCGTTCAGGCCCAATGCAAATAACTAGAGCTGCAGAACTCATGACTGCAATGGCTATGTTTTACTAGAGGATTTCCATAGCCCTTCTTTTGGCCTCTTGGTTCTTATATTCTCCTTCTCCTTAGATATTCATTGCCAGGATCTCAGACAGTCATGACTCTGGATCCACTGCAAAGAAGAGCTTCTGAGATTGAGACCGAGAGTTAACATTTCTCTGTGTGTTTAACGTTGATATTTAGAAGACAGTTTGATGCTATGTCAGTTTAGCTCAGGAGTAGTAAGTTCATTTCTTGCTGCCCATGACCTTTTAGGCATTATTGTTGAATGGGTTTTTAGTACCAGACATAGATTGTCTCCTGAGGAGTAGGCCTCAAATTCAGTGAGGGGGCTGTTGGTTTTCCCCGTTGCCATTGTGCTATTTGTAATTGCTTGTCAGTTTGGTTTTGCAGTCCACAGACTTCACAGCTAGGTGTGTCCATTGAGGTCTTGTTTCTTCCACCTGCTTGCATTGCACCTCTAGCACTATGAAAATTTGCCACCAAGGAAGACATTTCCAGTTTAGCTCAGTCCAGCTTTCCAGCTACGGTGTGTGGTGTCCTCAGCCTTAGGGTCTTAACCTCTAGTTCTTGTGGGCAGCTGAGTGGATTCACAGGAGCCTGCATTGTATGGATGCTGGTGCGGCACTTCCCAAACAGTTCCCATGGTACGATAACATACCTGGAGCTGTAACTCATTTAGCAGCCTACTCTACCCGGGAGCAGCATTATCTGGCCATGCAGGTTGTCTCCTTCGATCTCTAGTTCTGTTTTTAAATTTAGCTGCAAGATAGTAAGCTTCATACAGCTTTAATAGCTTTGAAAAAACAAACCCTTCAGGTTTGCTAGCTCCACCCCCTTCTCTTTCTCCTCACTCCGTTTGTTTTCTTGCAACCACTCCCTCATCCCCTTAGACCTGGCAAACAGAAAGCAAAAGTCTAGGCAGAGATTTCTTCCCCCCTCTTGTCTCATTGTATTATCCAAATAGAAATTTGAAATCCTGTCATGCTGTGAGTGCTTTTCTTTTTTTTTTTTTTTTACTTTTTTTTACTTTTTTTTTAAATTTTATTGAGAATAAGAAAAAAAAGTTTCCGCCTCCTCCCAGCCTCCCATTTCCCTTTCCATCCCCCTCCCCCACTCTTCTCCCCCTCCCCCCTCTCTTCTCCCCCTCCCCCCACTCCTCTCCCCCTCCCTCTCCTATCCAAAGAGCAGTCATGGTTCCCTGCCCTGTGGAAAGTCCAAGGTCCTCCCCCCTCCCTCCATGTCTAGGAAGGTGGACATCCAAACTGGCTAGGCTCCCACCAAGCCAGAACATGAAGTAGGATCAAAACTCAAAACCCCTTGCCATTGACCTTGGCTTCTCATCAGTCCTCATTGTTCACCATGATCAGAGAGTCCGGTTTTATCCCATGCTGTTCCCGTCACAGTCCAGCTGGCTTTGGTGAGCTCCCAATAGATCAGCCCCACTGTCTCAGTGGGTGGGTGCACCCCCCGTGGTCCTGACATCACCATAGAACCTTCATCTGGTGATGGATGGAGATAGAGACAGAGACCCACACTGGAACACTGGACTGAGCTCCCAAGGTCCCAATGTGAGTGCTTTTCTGAAAGAGAAATAATTAAAAGTAAATAAATTTTTGTCAAGAAAGCAATAATGCACGCTTTGCCTTAACTTGACTTCCTGTCCACCACCAGTGTTGCTAGTTTCCTTTGTGAGAACATGAACATATTGTGTTTTACCAAGATGTGAAAGGTCAGAATAATGTATATGTTCAAATAAATACTCTGATTGAGATATATAAAGTATACAAACAAATGGAAGCCTATTTAAATCTCCATTATCGGGTCTTTCAAATTGAAAAAAATTAAAGCAAGTTTAATAAACAGTTACCTATATAATACTTTCTAAAAAGCAGATAGACATAGAAGACTTTAAAAAATGTTAGCTCATCAGAAACAATAGATTTGGTGGGTTTCTTTATTTGTTTGAGACAAAGTTTTATGTATCCCAGGCTGGCCTCTTTCTCACTATATATCTGAGAGGCCTCCTGCCTCTACCTCAGTGGTGATGGTCTTAGAGGTGAGAGCTTGAAATACAGTGTTTCTGATTGCACAATGGAAAGACATTTAAAATCACCTGAAGTTATGGGATGAGGGAATTGGCGTAACGTCCAGGGGCAGCAAACCAGCAGCACTTTTCTTCAGCACTTCAGAGCCGGGTGTTTGTACCTAAAACCATGGTTTCCTGTTCTTATTGTTAATAGCGCTGCCAGGTTAGTGTGTTGCTCCTCAGTTTTCCTCATGCATTGTTTTTACAAACTTGAAGTTAAACTTTGAGCTTTGTAACTTCCAGTTGGTTGAAAATAGGATTTTTTATGCAGTTTACTCTACCCCCACCGAAAATCTCATCACTTTCTTCTTACCCATTGCTGGACAGACATCTCTAATATCTTACTCTTATAAACAGTACTGCTATGAAAATACTTCCACTCGGAGGGTTATTTTAATTTTATATTTAGTATCAATTTAAAAATTCTATCATCTAAGAAAATCAATGCCTTTAAAGTGGCAAACGTGAGAGTTCTTTGAGCTGCTAACGTGTATGTGAGTCTGTGTGTGTGTGTGTGTGTGTGTGCACTCATCCTTGTGTACAAGATGCATATATGTACATATGTGTGTGGGAGGCAGAGAACAACCTCGGGTATTATTTCTCGGGCACCATCCTATTAAGTTGAGGTCACCGATTGGTTTAGAGATGATTAGATTAAGATAACTGGCCAAATACTAGTAGCGATTCCTCCTGACTCCACATCCCCTGGCAGTGGGGTTACAGAGTGACCGATCTCAGCTGTTCTGTTATCTCAGGTCATCAAGCTTCTGCCGCAAGCTCTTTGACAGCTCCCCTCCAGTCTCCACAGCCCCAGGGGTTGCTTGCTCTTTAAATAATTTAACATAAGATAGGAAATATATACTAACTAAGGAATAGTCATGAGGCATTAAATATTAATCTGAACAACATAACTTTAATTTTATATAGAATTTTTAAACAATGATAAGTTTACTGACTTTGTTGCTTTCTACTTCAGAAGACTGTTCAACTTATGCTGTTAAGGTAACACTCATATTTTTCAAAATTTATTATAAAAATAGACAACAGTGTTTATTTTATCATGGTTCTTCAGAGAAGAAAGTTGAGAACCCCAACATATGGAAGAGTGACAACTGGAACACTCTTACAATTGAAGTGTTTCTCAATATGTGATGTAGAAGTTAGCACACTAACTTTTCTGGAAATATTTATAAATTTGCAAGACTTAATATTGTTTTGAAAAACCTAGAAAAGAAGGATCATATGTTTTTAACCAGTATTTTGATTTTCAAATTCTATCTTACTGTTTTAAAAATATCTGTTTTTCTTAATTGATACTGTCATATAACTTGTAAAATGTAAAGATAAAAGGAAATTCTTACTGTACATTGAGGCATCTTAAACTGTTCAGCTCTGACCCTATTTCAACCAAGAACTTTTTATGTTA